AGGAAGATGAGTTAAAGCCATGTGCTCTTAAAATGCATTTACTTAAAAGAATAAAAAGTCATTTGTAAGTAGTGGAAGCAGCAAAACAAGCATTTGCCTGACCATATCTCCAGAGTTTATCATAAGCTACTTAAATTTTCCAGATTGTCTATATTGTTAAAGCAGACAGCTGCAAGAGGTTTTTGCCAGAGGACATTTCAGGCGCTGGGATCTGTAAAATCTCGATCTGCATTACAATTTATGATTCTGGACTGAACAACATATTTCCTCAGTTTGTGCAGACACTCTTAGAAGGATATCAAAGCCACAGAAGTGAGACAAACATAAATATAGACTGTTTTTGGTCAGTGTTTGGCTTTCTTTTGACAAAGTTTATCTGCTATTGAATTTCTTTGACCTTATGCATAGCCATATTTTTGACTATAGTGGGCAGGTTTCTGTGAAGAACTGCCTACTAGGCCAGAGACCATCTGACAATTGACCGAACACAATTTGTTTTGTTTTTATGGTCCAGTTAGAGATGAGTTGATCTAAAATGGCTGATATCACAGTATCATACAAGCATGGAAAATTTCATTCAAATTATGGTACAACATCAGTCAGCAGTTAACAGTATAGAAATCACAGACATTTGATCCCTCTTTGGCAAAGAAGTGTTTATTGTGTCAAACTGAGATTTTGTAAACAACTTTTTTTCAAGGATAGGTCAGAAATTGCATAAAAGCCGTTCTATCAGTTTGAAGCTTACACTTTTTTGGTAGTGCTTGTGAGTTTTGTGTTTAATATGCATCAGATTTAGTGATCCAGCTGAGGCTGAAATTACTCTGACCATACTCTGATACAGGGTATCAAACTATTGCTATATGCTTTACACACAGACTATAAAATGCATCAGTATAGATAACGTCTCTGATTTCGCCACTCAGCACCCACAGATTCAGAAGAAATCACAGTACATCAAGTACCTGTGCTGTGATGATGTGAGAACGCTGCATCAGTGGGTCAATGGAATACGCATTGCCAAGGTAACATCTCGTTATGCTGACATCACCCCATTTTGTATAATGTGTATTGCTAGGTTTTGTGGCTGAATCTATGTGATTTGTAATGCAGTATGGGAAGCAGCTGTATTTGAACTACCAGGAAGCTATGAGACGCACAGAGGCTGCTCATGACTGGTCCTCCCTGTCCAGCTCCAGTATCAAGTCTGGTTCCAGCTCCTCCAGTCTGCCAGGTGAGCTCAGCAGTGCAGCCAGGGCCGGCCCCTATCAATTTGGTGCCCTAGGCAAAATTTTAGCTAGTGCCCCTTGCATTGCAGCCAATTCCACCGCCGATCATTCACACAGAAACTGCATAGCTTTGACATAAAACAAATTACATATGAAAATAAGACGGTTGCGCGCACAAAAAAAAATCTATAAATAAACTGACATTACCTCTGCTATTTAAATTAGAGAACTTTATCATTCAAAGGCAGCTACAATACTAACATTTCAATCTTCATTTCTTCATTTCAGACATTCTTAAATTTAGGGATGCACTGATCTTAACTTTTCATGGCAGAATCCAAAACTGATTTTTAAGGTATTTTATTCAAGTAAAAGACAAGAAAGAATGAAAATATGAGTATATGAATATGGTTAGTTGCTTTATTAGCCTATATTTTGATCTAAATTAGACTGTATAATTTCAAAACCTGAAGCAAAAACAGAATGGTCTGACTTTAGCTTTGTGAAATTAGGCTACATAAAACATACCAAACAGCAGATGGGCTGAATGAAAATGCAAATTCACTCGCTGTCAGCAGGTGGCGCTTAAGGAACAGCAGTGATGCATTGGTTCCTTGTTTACCACTGTAAGCACTAAGGAAAATGCCATCTAAACTGTTACTTAAGACAGTCAGTTCCCCTCAGAGAAACATTCATACTTTGCGCATCGTGAACAGTGAGCTTGCTCTGCCTGCTAATGTATTTTCTCCTCTTTGCGTCTCTGGCCTCTGTTAATGCTGTTTACAGACTCTGAAATAAAACAAAAAAACGTCCGGTTCCGATTTATGGCCGATGGTCGATCGGTACATCTCTGCTCAAATTCAAATATTAAACTGCTTTTATTTTGGTGGTTTGCCAGCAAATAAATAAATGCGCTGCAT